GCGATCAGCAGTCACAAGCTGCGCGGGGTTGAAAGTGTCAAGAACACACCTTGTGTCTCTTGGGCACTTGCTATGGAAGGTAGCATCCGTGATGGAATATCGCAGAGTGTGACTGCAGTGCGGGACGTTTTTCGGGGATCCTTTATGCAGCTCAAAAGTCAGAGTGAAACTGAGCGAAACTATTTGCAACGCATCGTCGGTCTACTCGTGGTCAAGAACCAAAAAGGTCATCTGCGATGATGGCGGTGCAACGTAGGGAGACGGTGCGTTCTCGCATCAACCTTGATCTCTGCGCTGCAAGTCATGTAAATTTCTGGCATTGTCGCGCTCTGTCCCTCCCCCCACCCCCTCTTCCTGAACAGGTTGAGCGAGAAACATTTCAGATTCGTTCGACATGCTCAGTGCCTCATCTCAGCTTCTTTTCGTTGAAAAAGACCTGCGTGAGGTAGGGAAAGGATAATCTTCAGCATTGTCGAACCTGTCGCATTTTGCAGAGCCGCTCTTCTGTCTGCTTGCTTGCCTCTTACTCACTGTCAAGTGCCTCAATTGCCACACGCCAGTAGCGATGAGGACGACGGCCTGAATAGCGCTCCACCAAATAGCTCTGCTATTAGTGAGTTCGCTAAGGTCTCTAAAATCAGCCTCCCTCTCTCTTTGAAATTGCTGCTCCTTTCTTATATCCCTAAGCCTGTCGTTCAACATCCTAACCCTTCCTGCCAGATCCACAATGTGCTGCCTGTCACGCGAAGAATTGTCCGGCTTGGACTCGCCAATCACCACGTCGAGGTGCATTCGAACGGAATGACCCCCGTGCGCTTCTCCTACGTGCGCTACGGCAAGGCAGATCTCGTGGTCTCCCGCCTCGTGGGAGGTGAAGGCGAACTTGCCTTCCGAAGGTCCTCGCGTGGACGTCACTACGTGATCATCGCGCACTTCCTGTCGTGTGCACCCGCATCGAACATTTGAGCTGAATGGTTTGAACGAATCCTGCTTGAAGTCGCTTGTGGCTGACTCGCAACTCACCTTGACTTGAATCGCAATACCCAGATCATCCTTGATGATGAACTTTTCGCTCGCCTTGTCCCACACTTCGGCCATGTAGTGTCCCACCACCACTGTATCATTTGGCAGCTCTTCCAAGAAGCATTTCTTGGCGTCAGAGTCTAGGTAGAAGTAGAGCTGCGAGCGAAGCGGAATGGGCGTGAGCGTTCCGATTCTCGAGCGGAGGATGCGCATACAGCCAGGAAAAGTGCAGTACTTTCACTCACCCCATGGGCAGTCTGCAGAAGAGATAAAGCTATCACGGCCAAGAGAGGCAAGCAGCGCAGAGTCTGCGACAGCATTGTAGCCTATGAAGTTTCTGGGTTTGGCGCCAGTGCAAGCGAGGGTTTCCGAAGCCTGCCTGGGTGCCAGTTCGCGGTACTAAGGCTAGGGAGCTGTAGGACAGCGTAGGCTGACTCGAGTGTGCAGCCAGGGTATGCCGAGGCGCTCTGTGTGGAAGAGCAGATGGTAGCCAGGAGAAGGTTGCTGCAGAGAGATGCCCGAATGAGGGTCAGGAGTCGAGATCGTCGTAACTTCTTGGCGCGCTGCAAGATCCATCTTGAATCGATCCGAGTCGCTGGCACGCGGCGCGGGGTATCCTTGTCTCGCACGAGTAAGCCAGTGCACGGTCCTCAGGCTGCCATGGCTTTGCTTTGGCTCTGGGCGCGTGCTTCGCGCGCCGTTGCTACAAAGGACGATGGATGCTCTTTCACCTCAACTCCTCCTCAACCTCTCGCTATCCTTTCATCAGAGCAGCCAGTCTTTCAGCATTTCCCAAAATGCCGCTCAATTATGCCAAGTGGGACGCTTTGGAGCTTTCGGACGATAGCGATGTA